TTTTTTTTTTTTTTTTTTTTTGAGGCTAGTTCTTGCTCTATAGTCCATGCTGGCCTGAACTCACTGTGCAGTGTAGGCTGGCTTCAAATTTGCTATATATATTCCTGTCTCGGCTTCCTGATTGCAGGGATTACTGGCATGCACCTCCATTCTTGACCCAAATATTAGTCTCACTCACTAGTGATCTCTGCCAATTAGAAACACATTTAGGGTACATGCCTGTTATCACTTTTGCTACTCAGATGTGTATCATGAGGCCATCTGGTCATCAGAATTAGCCTGTAAAAAAAAATTTTTTTTTTTTTTTGTACTTGGGACCAAACTCGGGTCCTTGCACATGCGAGGCACGCAGTGACGCCTCTGAGCTAACTCCCTGGCCCCCAGTTCTAGATAGTTTTACATCTTAAAGCTTATCAATCACCTTAAAAGGTAAAAGCAATGTAATAATTGAGTTTGCATATAGCACCTTGATTCAAGAAAGTCCAATCTCAGCTACTAGTTGTATAATGGGGGTCACTTAATCCATTCTCTTCATTTTAGTTCCCTGATCTCGAAAATGGGAGTGAAAATGCTGAAGAATTTCCCTTGAGCACTCTGAAAAAGAAATTATAAAGTTATTTCCAGAAGGTTATATATGATAATGACTCTTTAGAGACATCAAGATTGTCAGGTAATTTAAAAAGTAACTCTGACAGTGTTTTAGGAAAAAGTCCCATTCTGCCTACATGGTGCTAACATATGGTGCAGCCCTCATGAGCTGTGCGAGTGGGCTGAAATCAAGATGCAGTTGGAGAGGATTGCAGTGACTCACTAGATGAGACAGATTTGGCCTTCTGGCAGGGCAGAGAGTCTGAGGCGGGATTGGTGGTCGTGGAATATGGCAGACATGAGCAGTTGATACGTGACTATACGGAAAAGTCTGAGCCCTGGCGTTTAAATGAGGTGCTTTATCTCATGTCGCAGTCTCTCTGGCTTCAGAGATCCCACTTCTTCCACATCTGAACATGAGGCTCAAACTCTGGAGATGGGTAGAAGCCATCTCTGCCCAGAGTATGTTGCACACTGGCTTAGCTGCCATATGTAAGTTGCTGCTGCTATGTCCAACAATTTGTTGCCCAGTATGGACCACTCTTCCAATCCTCAGAGCAGTAATGAGCTCTACTGAGAGCACAAAGGGACTGGTTAATGGAGTTTGAGAATGATTTTTTGAGAGTTTGAAGCTTTTTTTAAAGACAGAATTTCTCTATGTAGTTTAGATTGGCCTTGAACTCGCTATGCCCCAGGCTGGCCTCAAGCTTGGGGCAATCCTTCTGCCTCACTTTCCAGGCGCTGAGATTTCAGACGTGGGCAACCACACCTGGCTGGGCTTTTCAGCAGGAAATAGGAAAACAGATTTTTTAAAATGTATTTTTCATTCCCTGTCTGCTTCATCTGAGCACCTCCAAAATGGGATGCCTCCCATGTGAGATGACCTCTGTTTTGTTGTTTCTGGTTTTTTTTTTTGAGACAAGAGTCTCACCGTGTAGTCCATGCTTGCCTTGAACTCAAGACACTCCTTCTGCCTTAGTCTCCTGAGTGCAGGGGTTACAGGGGTGCACCACCATGCCTGAAGTGACCTCTTATATAAATGTATGCATAATAGTCATGGAAATGTCATATAACAAAATGGAAGAAGGGAGGAAGGAGAATAAAGAGCTCAGCTCACCATCACCATTCAGCTTTAGTTGCATGGCTGTTTTTATGCAATTTCAGAAGATTTAATTTAATAATTGGCTTTGTGAAGTCAGTGTATTTATTGGTTGTGACGTACTGGTAAGGATGCTATTGTCAAGTCAAGATTTAATCCATTTTCAGCTCTGAGCCAGGGATTTAGCTCAGTGCTTCCACTGCCTGCCTTGCAAGCAGAAGGACCTGAGTTCGATCCCTGGTACCAAAAAAAAAAAAAAAAGTTTATGAAGACTCTGAGTATAATACAGTTCTCTGTAACTAATACAATACCAAAACGCTTCAAATTCTTCTGAAAAGAGCACAAAAAAAGTGTAAGTATTCATATGGTAGCCAAGATCTATTTATGCCTATAATCTATTTATGCCTAACAGCAGAAAGTCATGGATAAATGGAGAAAACTG